CACTTGGTCCATCTCGCCCGCAAAAGCATTTCAGTCCAAGAGGTTTCAGGGTCAAACAGAGGAATTCCAAGCAGGAGATCAGTAGGAAAGTTGGAGGGGAATGGTGAGAGGGGACAGCCTTGGCTTCCACTACTGAGAGATGGCCCAAGTGGTTAGAGCGCGAATTTACTGACCGGAAGGTTCGTGGTTCGAGTCCGACCCCCTCGACTTCCCCTGTCTAGGCTTGGGCAACCTGGCAGTATCCCAGCCCTCGTGCTGGATCCCAACCCTCATGCTCGGGTGGCATGGCAGCTAGGCACCGGAAGGGTGCTACAGCTGAACGTTATCTTTTCTTTCCACTACTGAACGTGACAAACTGAAGCGAAAGCTGCTTGTAAACTCGGGAAGGGTGAGTAAAAAGCGAGGAGAGGAAGAGGAATATGCGGGGAGGGGTACGGAGTTCTAAATAGTTTGGGTAAACAAAACGCGTTTACTCACCAAGAGGAATATCCAGACGAATCGCAGTAGATTGCACATCTGACCGACAATGTCAAAATTCGAGTAAGTAATAGGGGTAAGCCGTATCGAACAGATGGAGTCATCGATACATCCTGGTGGGCAGAAGCAGAGTGTTTCTTGAGAAATTCCACACCAGCCTGCAGAAGATATTCGCTCAGTGAAACCCAACGCTGGTCAGTATGCCGGTGGGGTAAACAGAGTTGAATCAGACGCAGCAAGCATTCAAACTGCATCGCGGTTGAGAGTTCGGCTTGTAAGTGCTGCCAAGGGTTCATGTAAGACAGTATCAAGTAGATTAGTTTGAAAGTGGCTCAAAGATGAACGTAAGACTACTACGACCACTGTGCAGGACATCACTGGACGTCGTGGAGCTGTAACATCCCTCCGGTGCCTAGCTGCCATGCTACCCGAAGGAAGAACGAGGGCTGGGATACTGCCAGGTCGCCCAAGCCTAGACAGGGCAAGTGGAGAGGCAGAGGTCGGGTTTGAACCTTCCGGTCAGCCAATTCGCGCTCTAACCACTGAGCCATCTCGCCCCTAAACAAGGTCCAAAGTACATATTCAGGATGAAAATGTCCCAAACTCCTGTGTCCATTCTTTTGACTCTTCTAAATTTCTTCGTTTTAGGCGAGAAAATACACACAGTCAATTGTCTTGTTCAATAAAAAAAATAAGCTGAATCGTTGTGCGTTGCAGCAGCTTCTCAATGCCGTTACAAAAATACCATGAAATTTCAGGGAATTAGTCAGAAATCTACAAAAATGCAGTTGGCTTAGAAAAAATGCACAAAGACCTTCGCCACTGAGCCCACAACTTAGTAAAAGCAAGATCATCAGCTACATGCAGAAAAATTTCCCGTGGTGAGACAGTTTTATCTGAGTGGGTAGGAATTTGGAACTGATGTGAATTTTGAAAGAAATTTGAGCGTTATTTCAAAAATTGCACTTTCCAAACCTTTGAGAAGAAAGACTTCAATAGTACGCCAGAGCAAAATGACGTGAACCGGAATCCACGGATTCAACAAATGAGCAACCGCGGAATCTGCACTTAAACTAAGGGGATACTGACTGGAAATTGATGGTAGTGTGAGATGTGGGAACTGAGATTTCTATGCGAAGCCGAGAAGCACTGCACAGCTGTTTCAATCCGGTGTGCCTTGCGAACCGTGATGCAAACCCTATATTCGTTATGGGCTTTCTATCAAAAGTCACGGTGGCTTGAAAAAGCATTTTATGAAGACACATGAAAACTAGTACAACTGTATCACAACTGTACAACTGTTATCACAAAATATCCTAGAAGAATCCACTGGAATCTTAGTGAGCTATAAATGCTTGATCCTAACTGGGCGAAATTCTGACCAATCAGGGTACGCCTTCGTTCGATTCACAGCGAGTACATGACACGCACATCTGTTAACGTGATGTTCGGCTGGCTAGAGCGTCTGGCCTGTGAACACCCTTATTGGAAATCATCAGTAGCGTGCATCTCGCGAAACTCCAGAGTCCCGAAATAATGAAGTCCCAACCGTTCAGTCATGAGCGGATGAACAGCATCTTCAATCAGAGGGTCAAAATCACGTGTCCCCCCACGTTGACGGGCTCTTCGAGTGACAACTTCTCAGATGGAAGTTTCACTCGTCTTGTGAAGTGATTTACTCAAAGCTACACCTCAAAACTGTCGGTTCAGTGGGTGAGGCATGCGTTACACCGATTCACATCAACGCTCTATGAAATTCTGAAGGAAATCAACGTCTGGTATAGTGTTGAGATCACATATGAGACAATACCCGAAAGCAGAAGATTTGAAAAGACCGCTCTGTATTGCTTTGCTTCTTGGGCTACGGCTCAGGAGGCTTTGCTTTTTTCCATACAGAGAAACTGCCGTCATCGAAGAACAGCTACCTAGTGGCTAAGCCAGGATGTTTACTAGCTACTTGTGGATAAGACATAAACTACTTGATTCTACATTAGTAGATGGGAGTTATTCATCCAGCGGGCGGTGGATTCACAGACTACTATGTAGTGCGAATGTTAAAGCTGCATCCGAAGGAGTACTCGGTTCGCTAGATTTATCGCATTATCTGAGACTGCACAGCACGGTTCATGTGCCAACTAGGGGACAGAGACAGTAACGTATGAAAACTAATTATGCTTGGGTAACCGTTGGTGCGGTAAACAGCTGACTGATACAGAGGGTTTTGATTCATGGCTTTGATCGACGAGCTTTCTGTCAAGTGTGGTGGAAACATCGGATTAGAAACGCTGAGGTACGCCGGATGGTTTTAGGAAGAAAGAACTCTCCCGCGATAGATGAATTACTCACGCTTCATAGGTTACGCTGGCTAGGACATGTAGTCCGCACGCCAGAAGACCGCCAGCTTCGCAGAGCTCTTTTCACCCAGCCCTGTGCTGAGTGGAAGCGACCGAGAGGTGGACAGTGTATGACCTGGCAACGAAGTACAAAAACTTGGTCGGATCAGCAACTGCCACCTTTCTGAATGAGGACCACGGGAGTCAAAGCAACAATGGCTAGTGACATTGGGAGAAATTACCTAATCGCGCAGTCAGTGGCCCTCGTGTATCAAAGCTATCGCCTTCATTGCGTAGCTACCCAATTTCCGAACACGCTGAACATGCCTTCGCCTTCAAGGCCTGGTTGTATGTCCCAGACTCCCGTTTTCCGGTGGTCGAAACTGCAGCACCTGGAACCAATGTGCCTATGGTACATGGTTTGTAGCTGGTAAATTGAACTGAATTTCTATCAAGCCGAGCAAAAGCGACTAAAATTGTGGACAAAAACAAAAAAACTCGGGAAAAACGAGACCAAATGACATAATCACTCACAGTTACTTACTGAAATTAGCTGGAGGAAAACCTCACTGAACTGGTCATCGTGCGAGGCGACACACTGCGTGCAAATGAGCTCTGCCAGTTGACGACCAAATGCCTGTATCTGTTGCTCGGATCCATGCAGTCCAAGAATAGATCGCAAATCTGTCCTGAGAAGTTCTCGTGTCTGTCCATCTACATCCCAAATGCATGCGGCATTTGTTGGATTCCCGCTTCCGTTTTCACCACCGCCATCACCAGTGGATCCACCGGTTGAAAGACACTCTTCTGTGCGTTCGATGAGGTTTACTACCTCTCCATCAGACAAGGGTAGGAATCGATGTACAATCGTCAAAAGTAGTTCAGCTATGTGATTGTGTGATTTCTCGGCATCCGCAGAGAATAACCAAGAGCACAGCTGCAGGAGGGGGAGAGCACAATATATGTTGAGATTGATTGTTTTCTCGATCCGAGTGCCTTCGTTTTTAAACGCCAGTTACCATTGTTGCCATTTGACATATCGATTATGTGGAATATAAACCCTGTTCAGTAGTTATTAATAAGACTTATTCTTGCAAAAATACCATACATAATCATCATCATCGACAGCATGACATCAGTGTTCAACACCGATGCTTCACTGCCGTACAACCATGATTTATTTGAAAGCCTTATTGTAAAGAAAAGAGTAAAGGTGGACGGGGAAGGGACTCGGTGCTAGCTTACCACAATCATTCCGAGGTGCCTACACCTCCGGACATTCACTCAGGCAATTTGGATAGAAACTGACAACAAGAACGCCACTGACATGGGTTGGCAGCCATATCTTGTAGTGTCTCCACCCAGGCACAGTGAGGATCACGCGGTCCCCATCCTGGAAGGCGAGTAGCACCGACAGCACACAAGCGTTTCGTGATCTCCTTCATACTCCTCAGCCAAGTCAAGGGTTGGCCACCTCTGTTTACGCCACTCTGAATTAGGCATGTAAAACATCACTCTCTTCGGCCTTGATCTCTGTATCGAATGGCTTCAAAATCACCGAGAAAGTACATCACGGTACTAGAACAGACTCTGTTCAAGGTCTCAAAGTGCGGGCTTAGGTGTTCTCACTCTAACGGTGGCTTACTGGTTTACAGATTCCAAATCTAATGTATCCTAGGATCAAGTCAGTCTACTTATTCCTTGATGTTCCATCTTCCAACTCAGGTTTTCCTGCTGTTTATCAGTAATCTGTTTCTGATCGGATTCATGCTCTTGTTTATGATCCAAAACTCCATTCTTCAAACACTTCCGGTCAAATATCTATCTCAGCACTGACACCAGCACATCGAATGCCGTTCCTACAAACATTTAGGTTTGGAGTTCATTGAACGAAGCTACATTCTCGTTTGGCGTTATTATTCTCGTGAGTGCCCACCAAAGGGGGGAAGCGTTGGACTCGAGTTTTGCTCACCAGCAGTGCATATGCAATGGCCGTGCTGGGGTTTGAACTCCGGATGTTCACTCCACCAGCACACATTGAACGCATGTGAATTTTCACTTCCGAAGAGATAAACGTGTTCATACTTGGGCGATAGGGTTGGTGTGCCGGACTCATAATTACACCAGGACAGCAGGACGACTGTTCAAACGAATGATGTGAATATGAACAATACACATCCCACAAACCCTACAACAGAAATCAAAGCTACATTCATTCCCCCCGAATCTATACACAATTCACCACAACTTCTCTTTATATGTCGATTTGAACCCCGTCCCTCAAGCGTTAAACTACTAGCCTCCTTGCATATGTTTTTCGAACGATCTGAATTGGTACCTACCTGTACGTGAAAGAAATTGCACCCCAAGTATCCGTAAAGCCAGATATGTATTCCTCTCTTTCATAGCTTTTCTGTTGGACAATTCTCAAATCCGCTCCATTTGAGAACATTGCTGTGGTCGTTGGGGCGGTTTACCCTCCATAGATCTGTCACCCCCAGATAGCAGCAACGAGAAGTTGTGCATTTGTTTGACCCATGGTCCACAACCCATCTTTCAGTATCGGAATACAACTGCCATTTCACTGGTTTATCGCTACTGCCACGGCAGACGGTTCACTGAATCGCTTACTCCATCTTACTACTACAATCGTTCAGTCTCCGGACCCGTCTATACAATTCAGGTCACCCATAACAAGTTCCAGTTCCCTGTTACAAAAAAGAACTATTTTTTCTCTCAATTTTCTTCGGAAATACCCATTTTTAGAAGTCCCATCACCGATTTCTGCTAATCTTCAAAGACACCAACTGGAAGTACCCATGTAGATAAAGGATCCCTCGCGCTATAAATGGCGACCACTTCACTACTACACTAGCTTAAGCCGCTGCATCAATCAGAATGTTCATAGTCAATGACGTCTGAGTAGTGAAGATACAATAAGTTGAACCGTTTGAATCCGATGCTTGGGTTTCAGAGACGTAGTGAATGCCCGTCGATAAAGCATCCAGAGCTCATGGACGTGTTCGCATAAGAGAACGCAACTTAAAGACCTCAATGAAACGGGGAAAATGAAGCCCAAATAGCGGGTCTGAAGTGGCAGATGCCAGAGCTGACGTCCAGTCGGAAACAGATCTAGGTGCTTGCACGACATGCCTACAACTATGGACTGAAGAGGAATGGCTACTGAGTGAAGCGGGAGGGGAGTAAATAACGGGAATCCAGGAATGCACTTTGCCAGTTTTTGCATTAAACGTGCTGAAACTTGGGACTCAACCTGGAATTTTGTAAAAACAAATTGATGGTTCTGTAACAGGAAGATTGCATGCACAGTCTGTGGAACTCTAAAGGTTCCGTATACACATCCGGCCGCATCGACCATGCAAACCTGAACTCAATTTTCGTAAACATCACGAGCAAGCCGTACAAATTGCCTCATAGGTATGTCTACATCCGGGGCATAAAGCGATACTCGCTTCTACGACACAGGCACTCACTGCTTTGAAACACATTCGATAATTTGTCCCCACCCACCCAAAAACCAGACATCACTATCGAGTATGTTGATTCTCCGCGCATCACGCGTATTGATCAATCAGTAACCAAGTTGACTGACAACGGGAGTGACAGGGTAGGTTGTTCTACGATGTAGAACATCAGTCTCTGTCGAGGAGAGATGGCTCAAGTGGTTGGAGCGCGAATTTACTGACCGAAATGTCCGAAAGGTTCGAACCCCACCTCTGCCTCTCGACTTCCCCTGTCTAGGCTTGGGCAACCCGGCGGTATCCCAGCCCTCGTGCCTCCTTCGGGTAACACGGCAGCTAGGCACCGGAAGGGTGTAACAGCTGGACGATTTTTAAGTTTCTGTAGAAATAATTGCTATCCGGCTTAATCTCAATCACCACAGTTGCCCGTTACAATTAGTGTGACCCTCAAGTCATTCAAATGGTCACACAGATATCCACTGTTAGTCTCTTGAAGGCTGGCAAGTGTGACTGGCCCTCGTGCTCCCATCCGCTAATTACTTCATGTGTCGGTTCGACGATCAACTTTATCGCAAGATTGAACCAGTCATTGCAGTCTTCGGGATATGGTCGAACGGCACCCGATTTAAGATACCGCCTTCCTAACATCCTGTGAAACTAAAAATTAGTCTTCAAATTATCACATACGATAGCGATGATTTTAGGCAGGCAGACTGAACTGCCAACAATGGCCAGTTAGGTTAAAATGACAGTGAAGGAAATCATCATCATCGACAGCATGACAGCAGTGTTCAACACCGATGCTTCACTGCCGTAACAGTGAAGGAAAATATCCGTTGAATTTGGATTCCTGGTGATTGGGCGTTTTCTAGTGGTCGGGAAATCGCCTTCCTAAGCAGCTGATGCCTGAATCTATCGTCTACAATGCAAAATCGAACGGTATTTTGGTGAAAATAAGGAAGACGAGTCAAGAAACTGTCAAGAGAAACTAAAAATTATCAGTATCTACTGTGCCCACAGTTTGCATGGACCTTTTTGATCCGCATACCGTATCGCATTATCGTTTTATGTACAAAACTCGAAAGTTTATATAAGTGCACTTCTTGTGGGTGTTTTCCAAGTGTGGACTTAAAAATTCTGGGTCCCCACTAAAGAGCCAACACTATTTTTCGAAAGCCTCAGACCATGAGAAAATTCGTTTTCGCAAAACTTACGAATTTTAAGCAAGAGTCTCTCAACATGGAAGACTAGCGTTAAGAAAAAACAATGAAAAAGGCGAGTGGTGCCATAAAAACCTCCATCGTGCTTTCTAGTACTCGATGAAGTCAGCGTCATCGTGACAGTAAAAAGAGAAAAATCGTCCCGCTATAACACCCTTTCGGTGCCTAGCTGCCATTCCACCCGAGGTAAGCATGAGGGCTGGGATACTGCCAGGTCGCCCAAGCCTAGACAGGGGGAGTCGAGAGGCAGAGGTCGGGTTCGAACCACAGACCTTCCGGTCAGGCAATTCACGCTCTAACCACCGAGTCAAAAATTACAAACTGCAGAAGGGGTACAACTTACTGTGGAGATGCCATCTTCGTTCATGTCCAAAAGTGGCTCGGACATTGTGCAGCATGGTAGAATGCTGTAGATAAGAGCAAGTAACCATTTAGATGACTTTTCGTCCAGTCCCGCTGACGTTTTGGTGGATGATAATTGGTTATTGATCTGAGACATGATGGTTGGTGCGTATTGTCCCCGGACACTTGGTGCACACGCCATAAAGATTGCCAGGCTCAATTTTGCTACACGCCGGGTCAAAACTGCGGGACCGAATCGTTCTTGTTTGTCACTAGGAAAGTCACAAAACAGTTTTTCGAGAATTGTGAAAGATGTTTCAAACAACTGGCCGGCAAGTACAACACGATCTTCACTGAAGAGAAACGGTCCAGTTTTTAGGTTCGCTCCAATGGCGGCGATGCATGTGTACAGTAAACGTGATAGAAGAGTGCAGTATTCAAAGGAAGTGGGGTTGCTGAAGGAGCCATGCCACAAATTGACCAAATTCGGTACAGGGAGTTA